ACATATGATTTTTTTTTGTATTTAAAATAGATTCTAATCCCTATTCTAATAAAAGAATAAGTTTAATCTCATATTGACAAGTGTCATACAATTAGGATTCCTCATTAATTAATGTTATATATATCACACACATATCATGCCACTTATCAATCTATTAATTATCCATTTCAAATTTCAAATTTTAAATTTCCACTCTAATTACATTAAATCAATAATTGATTCCTAATTTTAAATTTCAAAATTTTAATTTTCTCACTTTAATTATATTAAATTAATAACATTAGATTGAAAAATAAAATAGAATTAATATAGATTATAAGGTGATATAACTTTACATATTTATTTAAATCATTGATTATAATTCTCTTTGTATAACTAAAAAAATATTTCTTAAGTAATAATTTTTTTAAATAATTGATTAATAAATTTGATTTTTTAATAAAAAAATTTAATTAATTTTATAACCGTGGTTCTCACGGGTTATAAACTAGTAGATAATAGAGGCTAAGCTCGGAGGATTTTATTAAAAAAAAAAAAAAAAAAAAAAAAAAAAAACATTAACTTTTTCGGAAATTATTACAAATTGATGTTACCTGCCTTTTGGAAAATTATAATTTTTTTTCCTCAATTTCTCTTTAAAAAATGAGAAAAAACTTTGTGTGATTGCGACTGACATCTAGAAAAAGCATCTAGACGAAACGGACAAGTTGAAGGACCAATCTTGTAATTCACTCTTTATAATTATCAAAACGCTGAACATCAAATTTGAAAGTCAACCAAACATTTTTGCTTCCACACCTCTGCATTGCAAGTAACTCTCCTTATCCTACATGCCACCACCATAAACCAACCACCTTCCTCCGCCGTGAGCCAAAACCAATATGTCAATACTACCCCTACCCTCTCTTCTCCTCCTCCTCTTCCTTCTACCCTTTCACGTAATTTCACAGTCCACCTCCACCCAAAATGACCAAACCACCCTTCTCCGCCTCAAAAGCTTCTGGTCAAATCCACCCTCCATCAACCACTGGAACCAATCCTCCAACCCTTGCAGCTGGCCGGAGATTACATGTTCTGGCACCACCATCACCGGAATCACCCTCTTCAATCAGAACATCAACGGAACTGTCCCACCGTTTATCTGTGACATCAAAAACTTAACACACCTTGATCTGAATTACAATGACATCACCGGAAATTTTCCGACAGCCCTCTACAGCTGCACCAATCTCCAGTACCTTGACCTCTCTCAAAACTACTTTGAAGGAAATCTACCCAGCGACATCTCACAGTTGTCGCCGGAGCTCCGATACCTCAGCCTCTTCGGAAATAACTTTTACGGCGACATTCCGGCAAGTATTTCTAGATTATCAAAGCTTTCATCACTTCAATTGCACCAGTGTCCTTTCAATGGCACTTTTCCTCAGGAAATCGGTGATTTAGAAGATCTGGAAGAATTGAATTTGTCTTTTAACAAATTTACCCCATCAAGACTACCCCGGAGTTTTATTCAATTAAAAAAACTTCGATTCTTTTACATGACTGAAACCAACTTGATCGGAGAGATACCCGGAAATTTTTCCGGCATGCCGGCTCTGGAACTGCTGGATTTATCAGTCAATAACCTGACTGGATCGATACCCAGTGATCTGTTCTTGTTAAAGAACTTAACCGAAGTTTATCTTTACGGGAACGATCTAACAGGTGAAATCCCGGATTCAATTCAAGCATTGAACATGAAGATCATCGATCTTTCTGCGAACAAGCTCAGCGGAAAAGTCCCCAGTGGTTTCGGGAATCTAATGCGGTTAACAAACTTGACTCTCATGTTCAATCAGTTATCCGGTGAACTTCCCGCGAGCATCGGCCGCTTGCCTAGCTTAAACGACATTCGAATTTTCACTAACAACTTCTCCGGTGAACTACCACCGGATTTCGGAAGGTACTCTGAGCTGAAGTTATTCGAGGTGGACGAAAACCAGTTCACCGGAAACATACCGCAGAACCTGTGTTACAACGGGAAGCTCATAGGCTTAGTTGTTTACAGTAACAATCTTTCAGGCGAGATACCAAAATCGCTTGAAACATGTAGCAGCTTGAGGGTTCTTCAAGTTTATGATAACCAATTGTCAGGAAAAATTCCCGATGGGTTATGGAACCTTTCAAGCTTGGAGAAGATGATGATTAGTGATAATTCATTTTCCGGTGAATTGCCGTCGGAATTGGCGCCAAAATTATCAATACTCGAAATCAGTAACAACAGGTTTTCCGGTGAGATACCTACCGGAGTATCTTCTTGGACAAATATGCGGGTTTTCAAAGGAAGTAATAATCTATTCAGTGGTGGAATTCCTCAAGATTTAACCGCACTTCCAAATTTAGCAACTTTATTGCTCGACGGAAACCAACTCTCCGGCCAACTTCCGGCGACTATTGTTTCCTGGAATTCACTCAACACTTTGAATCTCAGTAAAAACCAACTCTCCGGTAAGATTCCGGCAGGTCTCGGGCTCTTGAAAGTTCTCACAGTACTAGACTTATCAAGAAACAATCTCTCCGGTCAAATACCGGCTCAGCTCGGGCGGCAGCTCGTTTCTCTTGATCTTTCCGACAATAATCTCGCCGGAAACATCCCGTCTCAGCTCAATAATGGTGCCTTTGAAAGAAGTTTCCAGGGAAACCCCGGTCTTTGTTCAAATAATCCTGTCTTAGGACTTAATTCTTGCAGTTCCCGATCCCAATCCGGACAATCTAGCAAGATTTCCAGTAAGTCGGTGGCGATTATCGGAAGTATTGCAGCAATATTGTTGCTTCTGGCAGTGATAATGACCGGATATGTCATTGCTCTTTACCGGAGAAGAAAACACGGTTTCAATTCAAATTGGAAATTCACTTCTTTTCAGAAATTAACCTTCACAGAATCCACAATTTTGCCTCGTTTGAACGATAACTACATGATCGGTCAAGGTGGTTCCGGGAAGGTATACAAGATTCCGGTGAACCGTTCCGGCGAAGTGGTGGCAGTAAAGAAGATCTCAACCAAAAAGGATTTAGATTTAAGGCTCGAGAAAGAGTTTTTAGCAGAAGTTGAGATTTTAAGCATGATTCGACACTCGAACATCGTGAAATTGATGGGTCACATTTCGAGTGACAACTCAAAGCTTCTTGTGTACGAGTACTTAGAGAACCGTAGTTTGGACCGTTGGCTGCACCGAAAGCAGACTCCACCGAACCGTGGGTTGACTGGTTCGGTGCGTCATATGGTACTTGATTGGCCTAAAAGGTTGCATATAGCACTCGGGGCGGCTCGAGGATTGTCCTATATGCACCACGATTGTTGTCCGGCAGTTATTCATCGTGATGTGAAATCAAGCAACGTACTTTTAGACAGTGAATTCAATGCAAAGATCGCGGATTTTGGGTTAGCCAAGATCTTAGAGAAAGGCAATGAGCTCGCTGCAATGTCAACCGTGGCTGGCTCATTCGGCTATATGGCTCCAGGTAAAGTTTCGATTAACAATAATATATTCATATTGTTTTATCAAATACCAATTACAATCCTATCAACACTACATTGGATCTCATCAGAACTCCACAGTTAAGTATAAGTGGACAATATTAGTATTAGGATGAGTGACCTCCTGAGTTTAGTTGTCCTCACATATTTGTCCATTAAAAAAATAAAGCATCCATAAGTATTGTCTCGGTTTGGGTGCAATCATACAAGTACTAATGCACCAGATATTACTAGAACTCAGCAATTAAACATACTTGAACGATAGTAACATCACGATGAGTGACCCTATGTAGTCCTTGTTTTTCTTAAACCATAGCTCCACTAAAGTATTTAAATTTGTTACAGAATATGCTCATACCACAAAAGTAAACGAGAAGATAGATGTCTACAGCTTTGGGGTGATCTTGTTAGAATTGACAACGGGAAGAGAAGCGAGTGATGGCAACGAGCATTCATCACTAGCAGAATGGGCTATGCAACATGCTCTAGGAGGCGAACCAATAGAAGATGTTTTAGACAAAGATGTTAAGGAGCCCATGTACATGAATGAAATGAGTGGTGTGTTCAAACTCGGGCTATGGTGCACTAGTAGATTGCCAACAAATAGACCCTCCATGAAGGAAGTGTGCAAGATGCTACTCCAGTACACTCCGGCTATGGTGGTTGGGACCAAGAAGAACGGTCATGATGTAGTTGATCATCTTCCCTTACTCAAGCTTGAAAACGTCTAAAAATAAATGGTGATTTTGAGTTTGTATATATATATATATATATATATATATATATATATATATATATATATATATATATATATATATATATATATATATATATATATATATAGATGTGTGGTTACTATTGAAAACATCGAGTTTTAAAATACCATATATGTTGCGGTTAAAAACGGTTTTGAGTTCATAAAATTCTTAACTGTTATCTGAAATTAGTTTCTAGTTAGTTATTATCCTAAAGGCTCAAGTATGTTAAATAATACTTGAAATATATGTATACTATTTATTATGATATTCAAACCATAAAAGTTATCCTTGATGTATTGGATTGGGAATGAGACGAATGTCAATGAGATAAAAATTATAATGTTTTGTCCCACCTAAATAGGTGGGACATGATTCGGTATTGATCTCTTATCTGTATAAAAACCATGGGGAAAAGTGCATAGGAGCTTAGATAGTTGTACCAAATCAATCGGAAAACCACTAGACCAACCGTATAATTTTGTCAAAAGTTTATGATAAGTAATTGTTATTATTTGATTATTACCGAGATGTTTTACTAAAGGGTTGTTTCGCAGACTATGAATGATTCAAGGACTCTAGATGTAAATGATTCTGAGTTGATGAATGTCTCCGAATGAAAACATATTATTGTATTGAATGAAATGTGTATGTTTGATAAGCAAGACAACAAAGAAAGGTAAAATTGTAAAATCTCACTTGATTCAAAACAATCAAATTTATTGAAGATCAAGAATTTGATAATACAGGACAAAACTATCAACAACAAAATGCAAACAAATATTGACCAGAGATCAAATTAAATTTCAACCTTACAATCAAACACATAATTAGGCTACAAAAATTCACATGCTGACTTTAAAGTTTAAACATTCAAATATCTTCAATAGTAATTGAAAATCAAAATCAATTACTTGCACTTTAGTTCATGCAACCAACTCCATTAAGGGCTCTCTTGATTCTTCTTTTGGTTATAGTACAAATACAATGTCAATTGTGCAATTCCCAGAATCGTCCCTATACCATTTGGAACCTAAAATTGAAATAAATAAAGATATTAGTATAATCACACTAAATATATATCTTGCTAATAGACATAATAATAAAAAATTAAAACTTCACTTACATAAATGAAAAGATCAAATATGAATATTCTATACAACTAAAATGATTAAAACTTTCTCTCAATTTCATCATTCTAATCACTTTATATTTAGTTTTCTTAAATAAAAATACAATTCTATATTTGTTCTTGTGGAGTTAATGCTGAATAACTTCTTTTAGGCCTTTATACACTTGTATTAAAAGTGCAAAATTGGGTTTCCATATAGTTCAAAATAAAAATAAAGATTACGACCATCTATAATCATATATAGATTTAGAATAAAATACGATATTAGACACAATATCCATCTATAGGCATGTCATGAAACATATGTCAAATGATTATGATAGATACATACTGTAACATGTGTCAATAAAAAATTGGTTGATTTTGCACCATATAAAAGTAAGTCGAAGAATGAAAAACTGTTATGGATAGAAACTATCATCTTTGGACGCCAATAGATGAATTCTTGTACCCTTTTACCAACATGTTGACCTATAAAAAATAAAGTAATGATGACATAATGCTAAACACCTCTACATATTAATATGGTTCCATTACATGATATATCTGTGGATCAATATCCATAATGCTTTTAATTTTTAACCGAAGGTAATGAGGAGGCAAATCAAACATGGTTGGTTAGTTCAAAATGATATAACATGAATCACCTCGGTTGATTTACAAAAGTAGAAAGGTTACATTTATCAAAACATTTTCTGATTGATAACAGCAAAAGAAACGACTTTATAGAATCAACTACAGTAAGAATCAAAATCTTTTAATCAAACAATCAACTAATGAATCGAACTCAAGTCAACAAAGAAAAACTAAAGAATCAAAATTACAACTCTTATAAATGAAGTACAAAACAAAATACCATAAACCATAAAATTTAGAGATACGACTCACTTTTTACCTCCATCCATCATCTTTCTTAGAAAGATCTTCCGCGTCTTCATTGAAAACTAAAAATTGTTCTTGCATCGCCTTGATTATGCGACAAATATATGAAACCATCTGCAAATTCATTGTCATCCAAACCCATCGATTCTAATTCTTTCTCGATTTCCTCACATGTACAGTCATGAGATTTTTTCCTAACATCAACGATTTCTTTAAAAGTATGCATAATACCGTGTTCAAAAGATTCCGGTTGAGGTCCGGCTACTACTTCATCTTCATCTTTTAGTTTTCTTCTTTTGAGCTTTTTGGTCTTGAATGCAATTGCGTCGATTTGGCCTGTTTATAAACAAATCCAAAAATAATTAGTAAAGTTAATGGTAAAAAATATATGAAACAATAAATCAAACGTAAAACCAACACATACACTAATTAATTGTGTCCATACTTCCTCCTCTGCTTCAATATATTTTGTTTGAGAATTCTAGGAGAATTCACTCAATGCAATACCCCAAAACAAATCATGTCATTTACCAAAATTACTTTTTAAAGTTTTCATTCGGTTTTTTAAATGATCTTTGGTAAAAGACTTGTTAAACTATTTAACATCACTGCAATCATGTTTGCATAATTTTGCGAAATGAATGTACCATTAACCCGGTTACCTATTTCATGTTCGTCTATCGGTACTTCAACGAGAACATTATCCATCTTATCTGTCCACATCAAATTTTCTAATTTCACAATGCTTCCATTAGCTACCCTTTTGGTCATGGCTCGTTATGTTATGTTTGTATGTACAGAGCGACCATGACCAAAAGGGTAACCGACGGAAGTTTGTGAAGAAAGAGAATTTGACGTGGACAGATAAGATGGATAATATTCTCGTTGAAGCACCGGTAAACGAACATAAAATAGGTTACCGGGTGAATGGTACATTCACTTCGCAAGCTTATGCGAACATGATAGCAGTGATGTGTAAAGAGTTTAACAGGTCTTTTACCAAAGAACATTTAAAAAACCGAATGAAAACTTTAAAAGGTATTTTTGGTAAATGACATGATATGTTCTGAGGTACTTCATTGAGTGGGTTCTCTTGGAATTTTCAAACAAAATACACTGAAGATGAAGTATTGGCACAATTAATTAGTGTGCATGTTGGTTTTACGTTTGATTTATTGTTTTATATATTTTTTACCATTAACTCTACTAATTATTTTTGAGTTTATTTATAAACAGTCAAACCTTAACGCAACTGCATTCAAGGCCAAAAAAATTTCAAACTACGATCATTTGGATATGTTATTTTCAGATGATAAAGCATCATGATCAAAAGCAGAAACACCAAAAGAGAAAAACGCCCTATTAAGCAAATCCATAGAAATTAAAATAGAAAAAGTTGCTGATGTTGATGAACTAATGACAAATAATGAGATAATTTTGGATAACGAATACAAAGATGATGATGAGGATATTCAAATAGTCACAGCAACGCATGTTTCACTCGAAGAGAGTTCAAAAGCGAAGAAGCTCAAAAGTAAAAGAAGAAAACTAGAAAGCAAACTTCAAGATGAAGATGAAGTAGTGGTTCCTAAACCAGAATCTTTTGAACACAATATTGTGCACACTTTTAAAAAAATTGTTCATGTTATGAGAGAAGGGAACAAATCTTGTGACTATACATGTGAGGAAATCGAGAAAGAATTAGAGTCGATGGGTTTGGATGACAATGAATTTGCAAATGCTTTCATATATTTGTCGCGTAATCAAGCTAATGCAAGGGCAATCTTTAGTTCTTCAATGAAGATGCAGAAGATATTTCTAAGAAAGATGATGGATGGAGGTAAAAAGTGAGTCATATCTTCAAATTTTATGGCTTTTTTTGGTTTTTTATGGTATTTTGCTTTAGACTTCATTTGTAAGAGTTGGAATTTTGATTATTTAGTTTTTCTTTGTTGACTTGGGTTTGATTCATTAGTTGATTGTTTGATTAAAAGATTTTGATTCCCATTGTAGTTGATTCTATAAAGTTGTTCCTTTTGATGTTGGATTCAACAAGCTTCTCTAGAAACCTCCTATTTCGATTTAACAAATCAATACAAGCATAATGCTCAAGTATATAATTCGAAGAGGCAAAGTTCATATTGTTTACGTGTTCTAAACATGATGTGTAAATAATGGTATAATTGTAATCTTTTAGTTTTCTTTTCTTTTCCCTCCTAACTCGGGAACACAGAAACATAAAATTTCCTTTCATTTCCTTCAAATTCAGGAACACGGAATAAGAAATTTTTTCCTTCCCTTCCCTTTTTTTATGGTCAATATTTTCCTTTCCTTTCCTTATTGAATTTACTAAAAACTCAGGAACAAGGTGTAAAAGTAGTTTACCTTTAGTCCACAGTTGTCAATAGCGACCATAGCGGTCGCTATAGCGAATAGCGTGGCGAAGCGGTCATCGAGCGCTATGGACTAAATAGCGACAGAAAGCGGGACTTTTAGCGATAGGGTTTTTTTTTCTTTTTTTTTTTTAAAAAAAAAAAGAATTGGAATAAACGTATTAGGGTTGGCGCTAACTAAAATCCAGTCTTGTTCGTCTCCCGCCTCTATGCTTTGGACTTGCTCTACTCTGAATCCTTGCGTCCACCTCCTAAATACGTATAAACGTTGCTAAATACGTATAATAGGTATATAATAAATATTTTTTATACTTTCATACCTATCGCTAAATACGAAATAGCGGTCGTTATTTACCGCTATTCGCTGCGTAGCTTATAGGTGGCTCGTCGCTATTTACCGCTATTCGCTATCGATAACTATGCTTTAGTCTTCCAAGATACAAGATACCTTCCAAGATACAAGATACAGAACCATACGACATTTGGTTTCCACCACTTTGGAATGTCAAAGCCGATAGTGTAAGCAAGTTTTAATTCACTAGGTACCTCTTTATATATGCTTCTATTGCAACATAATAGAGTTGTTTTCCTCAACATGTAGAAACTCACCAAAAATATCATTATCGTCATCATAATAAACATCTAATTTACAAGCTTCCTGAAATGAAGAGTGCACCTCGGCCTTGTAAAATCTTTCTCTATATATTATAAACAAAGTTTCTAGTTTATTTTCAATATACCGAACAAAAGCTACAACCTTCATGTCATTAAATTGTTTTCACAGTGATTTCCTTTCATTAAAATGCAAATAGCCAACGTCTTAAATGTATGCCCAATGATTCATAGTCGAATCCAGCATAACCACAAAATACATTTAATTAGAACCGGAAAAAGCCATTAAACCCGCCAACACAATGCAAACCCTACCCAAAATTGGCGGGTTGGGTTGAGATTTTCAACCCACTTAATTTAAATGGGTTAACCCACCTAACCAATATAATTAGATGGGTTGGTTAGGTAAAAACTATCACACAGTTTTCAACTTGGAAACTCATATATATATATATATATATATATATATATATATATATATATATATATATATATATATATATAGTTTTATATTTAAATACTATTATCTAATACTTACATTTTAATGTTGTATTATTATTTATATTTATAAAAAAAACACTGCCATAATTCACATCTCTACCCTTGGTACCGAATTGTCAATCTCAAACCCTAGATTTAGCTTGTTATGCTCTCCTCTTTTACGACTCGCTCTCAGCCTGACAACCTCTCTTCGCTCGATGACTCTATCTCTTATCTCTCTCAGAGTCACACTCTCATTCGGTATTCATTGTTTGTTTCTCTGATTCACTCTCTTTCGGCATTGCTTGATGCACAAATCACAAACCTCTTCTAACTTCACCCCACTCCATATTATTAAGTAAAACATTATATAGTGGAGTATTCATGTTTTTTTAATTAAAGTGCTCACATTTAATTTGCTTCCAAGTTAAGTTCTTTAAGTATGTATACTTTTTTTAATCTATTTGCATTTTCAATTTTAAATGGGTCAGCCCGCATTCAACCCATTTATTTAATAAATTGGGTTGAGAAATATATATAAAAGGTCAACCAGATGGCAAACCATTTACCTAACAGACTGGGTAAGGTTGGAAATCTCAACCCTATTTAAGTAAACGAGATGGGATGGGTTGGGTTGGGTTGAGATGTTCAATCCATTTAAAAAATGGGTTGAACACGAACCCAACTCAACCCAAGTCGACCCATTATCAGCTTTGGATATAGTCATTACAACTTTTGTCAAAACTCTTCCAACATTTTTCATATTTTAGGCGCATTGAATTACATATCAAACAAAACTCGGATTTATTCTTGAATTTTTCTCCACTCATTGAATTTTCCTATACTCATAGATGTTTATCTACATCTAAAATTTCTCTAAAAAAATGTCACCGGCTTTAAACTTCTTTACACAAACTCAGATTTATTCTTAAATTTTTCAAGAACATCGACCACAAGTTTGCAAATATCTTTAATAAATGGGTCAGGCAAGAGTTTCATGCCCATCAAAAACACATGACAAATAAACAAAAAGCAAACTAGAAGCTTTGAACAGCAATAAATATTAGTGTGTTGCTACTCAATTAGCAACTATGTAAGAGAAACATACCTGATCAATCATCCACCAAGTTCTGCACGAGTTGGAACAACAGGCACTAGAAAGTTCCCAAATGGAGAATCAAATATTTTGAAATTAGCTTGGGACCCATCTTGTTGAGCCTGTGCAATTGCATGATTCTTAGCCTGTTGAATCCTCAGATCAATGACTACTCCAGTTTGAGCCACATTAACCTGTCATTACATCTTCTCAATTCATATAAGAATTCTTTAACATTCTATAATAGTGTCAATTAAACACCTGAAAAGAACATGCATACCGTTGGCTTTATTGTTGAAGTTGAAACTGCAAGATCTTTCTTTCCAGCTGGTGAAAGAGTTGCCCTAGAATTTCAAACATTTGCAGCAACACCATTAAAACATGTACTTTGTAATTGCTTGACATATTTGAATTGAAAGAGAGGAAAATAACTTTTAAGTGATCACTTCTCGAGGATATAAATCGAATACCCGAATTAAACAAATAGCTATCACTTAATTGGGATTTGTAATTCGGTATTGATTATCAATCTTTGATGTATTTCAATGTATGTCGATTCGTCATGATAAAATATTGATCCCATTAATTCAATTTGTCAGGAAAAAAATAGTAATGTATTCAACGAAGCAAGGTTTAACAGGTATATAGATAGTAGAAAAGACAAAAATTAGAGCTTTGACAGTGATGGGTTACGGGGAATACTAACCGGCGAGGAGGTGGACGGAAAAGCTTCCTTTTCTTCGTTTCAGGTTCCATTATTTTTCACGAGCTCTTCCCCCAAATTTTCTGTACATAAACCCTAAATCTAGAGGTTGAAGACGACTTGCTCTCCCTAGTTGCCCATGGCAAAATTGTAGTAATATTTTGAGCCCAACACTAAATTATGCGTTGTATTTGTAAAAGTATGAATAGTCAATATTATCAGATTTTTTTATTGTGATAAATGAGCCCATTAAGCCCAAATATTACATGCTTTCTTTAGATATTGTAAGTTTGGTTTATAAAAAAAAAAAATTGTTATTGTAAATTTGGTTAGTAAAATTGCTGCCAATGTTTGAAATCGTAGATTTCCTTAGTTTATTTTGTTTATTTATTTAAATTTAAAAGATTAAAAAAAACAATTTTATTAATTCATTAGTTTTCTTATTTTATTATAAATCCAAAATTCTTAAATATTTAAACCTTGATTTTAAATTTTTTTAATTAACCTATTTAATATATATATATATATATATATATATATATATATATATATATATATATATATATATATATATATGCTACCTCATTGTCTTTTTAGGTTATCAATTTTTTTAGATAATTTTATAAAAAATCTATTAAAGTATTACTTATAATACTAAATATAGTAAATAAAGAAGAAAGTTTTACATAGACGTAGCGGTTAAACGAGCAAAAAACTGTGTCGCAACCCTTTTTGAATGTCAAAAAGTTTTTCATTAAATTTAAAAAACAAATTTTTCAAAATAATTTGCATTTGTCGACACATATTTTGAAAGACCCAAACTTTCGTATTTTTGAAAAACTCAAACTTTCATACTTCACAATATTATTACTCCAAAACATGCTACTTGCATATTCATAAACGCAATATTTTACATTAATAAAGAGGTTACAAACTACTGGATACAAATCGTCTATTACAAAGTGTTATATATATTACATAACTACCCAGGATATTGTAATTTATATAAATATAAAACTGAAGTACAAAAGTAGTATTACAAACTACTCTAAATCTTTCAACAATATGTGATCATACTGGTTACTTATCACCTGCAATTGTTAAACATTTATAGGGTAAGCGGTGACGCTTAGTGAGGTCAATAATAGATACAATATAACATTATATCATATATATACATCAATATGGCATAAGCAAAGAGGAACAACAAAGACATATGTGAATCATGTGACAAGCATTCATATCAATCAAAGACTTTATTCAAAGATATACTTTTCAATGCTTGATATACATTAATAAAACTTTGGCCCAAATGGCATAGAAGACATACAATTTCTGATTAACATCTTGTTAGATTCCAGGCTTATAGTCCTGTCTAACCATTTGTCAATGCCATAGAATAGAAGTCATTCTCTTACGGAGACATGCTCTACATGGTCAGAGGCTACGTACTAGTACCAATGTGAATTTAAGTCCTTTCACTGATCACATGGTCAAAGGTATTACATTTGCTATAAAAATAGCGAATAAAATAACACGGGAAAATAACCCGGAATAATAACACTGA